GAAAGAGTGAGTCTGAGAGAACATAGAGAGAGAAGAAAGAGAAATGGAGGGAGAGAGCTTTGGCTGTGACGACCCTCCTTCAGAGGCCGTCACCGTAGCTGACATTTTTAACTTGTACTTACTGGGATTTCTTAAAACTTGCGGAACATTTTTTTTTATATAAGAAGGAATAATTTCATAATTCGTAACAATAATTTCAAATGAATGAATCACTAAATTTCTTAAAGTTTTTCTTAATTTCAACTAAAATAAAACCTTCTAGATATATCCTTCAAACTGAGCAGCATTTGAACTTTTGTTTCAAACACCCTTTAAAAGCTTTTCTAAAACTAGTCAATTCAATCTGGCCATCTAATTTGACTTTAAAATGGATTTCGTGAGAAATCTTAAATTCAAGTACATCTTAAAGTCCTTTTAAAATCAATTATTTAAATCGTCATGTTTAAAATTTGTTTATTTGTTACATGCACTGTTGCAACGTTCTAAAACTTAAATACTCAAGACTGAGTTGTTAGCTACAACATCGATTTTCTTAACATACATATGTACATATACTTTTCAAATATACATGCTTGAAACCTTTGAATCACATATACATATACATGATTTTACTTAAACTTACTGCGGAAGATTTAACTGTGAACGGTATCCATTCCCATCTCCACCATTCGCCCGCCGCTCGCCACTGCCTTTCAAGAATTGCTGATAGATTTCTTACCTACAGCATGAACATATCTGATTGAGCTTTCGCTCAGCAAGTAGGAACTATCTCTCATAAAATAACTGTAAGTTCACATGAATAAATATGCATGAGCTGATTATGCTTAATTATGATGTCTTATCATAGTCTTATTATCTTATCTTATCTTTCTTACTGATGGGCCCGAGTGCTCGCGTACCACTTGCGCGCAATCATCGGGACGTGAGGGTTTGCAAGGTCCCCCACGACACCGTGATTATAACTTGAATGCCTCCCTTGAGTCGGAGGACATTACTATTAGTTTTTTTTCTCCCTTGTGGAGCTTGAGTTACCTCCCTTGTGGAGGCTGGGACGGCACTCGACTGATATTATTCTTATAAGTTCCTCTTGACTTATTAAGGTGTATACAATATGACATAGCATAACATACTATAACATGACATGTACTCAAACACATATACTTCATGTGCACTGCTTAAGTGTATGCAGTACGATCTAGCATATCATACATAACATTAAATTAACTCAAACACATATAATTCATGTGCGATGCTTATGTGTATGCAGCATGACATAGCATCGCATACAAAAATTAAAGCATAAACATGCATATATAACATGTGTAACTTTTTCTTTAAAATCTATTTATACTGTAGGTGAGATTCCTACTTACCTGATTTACAGAGCTGGAATCTACTTTTCACCAAACAGCCTATTCTCTTACTTGCTTACTTTTGAAAATGAACACCTATTGAGAGTGTAAGATTATCTGTCGTTTGCTATTTTATTTTAGCAGCTTATAAAAGAAATCCAGCCCTTTACTTAAGGCATGTATTCCTTTCCTTTACTGAAGGATAATTTACTATAAGGATCAATTTATTAAAATTTTAAAATCTTATTTTCCTTAATTGCCCTTAACATACTTATGTTTAGGTTGAAAATCATTTACCCAATCTAGTAACTTATTCTCCATAATTTTTCCTCATTGGACTCATTATAATATTAAGGCCCAATTCGGCCTAGAAACTTATTCACGGCATTCTAGCTCTTACGCCGTTGAAATTTAAACTCTAACGGAGTCTCTTAAATTAATGCGGGCGTTGGACCCACATCAAATCCTTGAAATTCTAAGGACCTATCGTGTTGGGCTTGTAAGTGCCCGTCAGGATGTTTTGCTAAAAAAGTATTAAGCTTTTAAAAGAACTATCATTCGATTTTTATAAAATGATAACTCACTCATTTAGTTACAAGCACTAAAATCCCGTTGTAAAATCTCTTTTCGAATATCGAATTTTGAAAACTATTCCCCAAGTCGTTTTACGGTTGACTTGTAAACCACCGTGAAACTATGTTGTAGAAACCCTTTTTTGAAATCTTTCTTCATGGCTATTCCTCATTAAAGTGAGGTCTAAAACCATATTATTTTACTAAAATCACATCTCGGGTTCTTTGATAACATTTTGTTAAAAACGTCACTGTTTTAGTTTCGTTTTGTCAAAACTGTGTAGTTTCTGAAATCTATGTTTCACTAAGTCTTAGAGTTGGATTTTGAAAATCTGTTCTTCACGATAATTCTTTGACTTATCGAGATCTAAAATTATCATTTTTAGAGAAAGTTGAAATTCAGCCTCTAAAGGTCTCGTTTAACTAAAAATAGTGGCTGCTGTTTTTTTTTGAAACTGTTTTAGTCCAAAAATTGTGCCATTTTGGAAATCAGTGTTTTACTACATCTTAGGGTCAGATTTTGAAAATCTGTCCTTCATGAAAGTTCTTCATCTCGTTGAAATCTAAAATTGTCATTTTTATA